TCTGCAGACAGCCAAGGAAACACTGGCTGGGGGAGATTGCATCATCTAGGAAAAATGGACGGGATTCCACACTGACCCTATCCGGACGCTGTCTGTTCAGTGTGTAATCCCGTCCATTTTTCCTAGATGATGCAATCTCCCCCAGAAACTGTAACTAAGGTCTACTCAATATAGTTGCTGTAGCAGCCACAGGTTGGCTCTGGTATTCATCCAACATCTACAAAGAGCCTGAAACAAGGATTGGATAGTGACATGAGCAGACATACTTGGAAACATGTTGTCAGCCATTAAGTCAGTTATGTGCCATGCGTGATAGACACTTAGGCGATCATCTATCTTTTGATACATAACTGATGAGGAAGATTTTTTTCCCTGCAGTAGATTGCCATTTTTTTCTGTAGTAGTCCACTTGCCATCCAAAGCTATAGAACCCAGTCTGTCCTGCTATTTACCCATAGCTGGTGGGAGAAGAAGAGGTTTCATACCTTTCCCAAGGTATTAGCACATAAGTGAATGTAATGGATTCAACTGGAATTCGAACTCGGCTCCCGATTTCTCAATCTGAGCTGCTATTCATTACTCCACAGTGTCAGCCATCATATATTGTAAATTTTTTCAACTGGTCTTTGAAGTTCCAATTCATATGTCATTTTTTATGGGTACTATGCTGGTGTGTTTGTGGGTATATATATATATATATATATATAATTATTTATTTAAAAATGATTTCAACTCGCGACATAAGAGCTCTCATGTTTCAAATCAAGAGCTTGTTTTGAAACATGAGACCTCTTATGTCGCGAGTTGAAATCATATTTTAAATAAATAATTATATTTATGCTCTACTTTTGTATCGAGAGCACTATTTTTAAAATAATAACTAAAATACTAAGGAACTTTGGATTATTTACCTAACCAGTTCCTTCCTATTTTCTATATATTTTCACACACACATATATAATATATATATATATATATATATATATATATATATATATATATATATATACACACACACACAGAGGGTGCGATGCATAAATCGTCACCATTTTTTATTTCTAATTTCATGCATGTTCATTGCTTGTTTTTTATTTTGTTGACAGAACAGTTGGGCACCATCTGTGAGAAAAAGAGCACCATGTCAATTCTCTCCACTAGAAATTTGGAAACGGCATGATGTATTGCTTGGCATTTGTGCTTGAACTCCAATACGAACATTTCAGAGTGTTTGGGTGTCAATCTGAGGTTAGTGCAGAGGATTTGGAAAGAGTAGGATGATATATCCAGTCAACATTATGGTGTTTGAAGTGATCACTAGTGATGGTGATATTATGCCTCCATTCCTCTTCACACAAGACTCAATACAAAGGCCTACATCAAGTGCCTTGAGGAGGTAGTGCTGCCCTGGGTCAAGAGGGTGGCTGCTGGAAGACCCTATTTCTGGGAACAGGACTCTGCACCATGCCACACAAGAAGGAGAACCCAGTCATGGCTGCCAGACAATTTCTGCAACCACATCACCTCTTACATCTGGCTACCTAACTCCCCAGATTACAACTCCCATGATTATTATGTGTGGAGTGCAGTTGAGCGTGAGACCAAGAAAACTCCTTCTAACACCAAAGATGAACTGAAGGCAAGGATTATGGCCCCATTCACCAACTTAAACAAAGAGATTGCCTACAAGAGTTGCAGGAGATTCCAAAGTCATATGGCAGCCGTGGTTGAAGCCTGTGGTGATTTTATTGAACAAATTTACTCTTTAGTATTTCAAGATATTTTTGGTAAATATATTTGATAAAATGAGGTGTCAGTGTTATTTTCATTTTTGTGTAATTTAGATGACAATTTATCCATGCACCCCCCATATATATATATATATATATATATATATATATATAAAATAGAGAAAATCTATTTTAGGCTCCTTACAGAATAGTAGACTGATGAAAAAAATTCAAAAAAAAATAATATTGTATATTAATGGGTCAATAGACAAAATACAAATGCAATAACAAAAATACTTACAAACTGGAATTTTTGGACATGCCTGTCTCTATTCTCAAAATTCTGAAAAATTGTATTTCTTATTACTTCAAACATTATTTTTTATAGATGACTTTCTTTTTTTTTTTTTAAATAGTGTTTATTTTGGCTATTGGCTATTGAGAAAACTCAATAAAAAAAATGCCGAACAGTCAAAGCATAACAGATCAGATGGTGGTTTCTCATACAAAGGGCAACACAGGTTTGAATCCTGCTATAGCAACGTTTTAAGCTTTCTTTAATGGGCAAACCAGTAGATGAAATAAATACTGTTTAAAAAAATGGGGCATTTTACTCAAATACAAGTATCCAGTAAAATAATGTTTAAATAATAAAAATAAGTTGACTTAAATAAGCAAAATTCATTAATTAACACACAGGCATATTCAAAAGGTAACAGAAAGCAGGTTAGACTTGCAAACCATTGATAGTGCAGTCCATTATAAATTCTTCTATATTCCATGTCCCGTCAGGATGTTTGCGATCATTTGGAGCAATTAATAAATTTTCTTTTTCTTTTCGCTTCTAAACTTTGCTCCATCATCCATTTACTCAAACTTGCTAAGTAGGTTATGCATTATTTTCCTGTGGCTCTTGCCTTCAGTCTGCCCTGTGAATATCAAATTTTCAAAGCCCTCTTTCCTATACCAGAGAAATTTCGTCTGTCTCTTTCTGATGCTATGTATAAGCGTCCTTTTTGTTTCCATTTTCTCTAAAACTTCCCAGTTACTCACATGTTCAGTCCATGATATTCTCAACATTCTTCTGTAGAACCACACTTCTGTTGCTTCAAGTCTCCTCTTCATCTGAGCGGAGATTGTCCAGCATTCACTGCCATATAGGAGGACTGATATTACATTAGTTCAGTACTTTTTTTTCTTAGCTTTTGGAAGGCGTCTTTTGCTATCCCACTGCATCTTCAGATTTCAGTGTTGCACTCCTCTGTTAAAAAACTTCCCAGATATTTAAATTTCTGTACTTGTTTGATTTTAGAGCTGTAAACAGTTGAAAAAGAGTGTTTAATACACTATTTACATCATTCGGACTATTGTCATCATCTTTGTCATGTTTTGGCCGATGTAATGTCGGACTGAACCCTTTATTTTGCTCACTGGGGTAGACTGTTCTAGGTCCACGTACCATGTCTAATGGATGTCAGTTATCTCCTGTTAATTCCCCTCTCCAAGTTCTCCACTGCCTTAACCAGGTATTGAACTCGCACTGTCACTGGATCTAACTAATGACTTTATCCATTGTGCCATGTGTCCTTGAGGACATCTGTGTATGAATTTCTGGTTATTATAAACCTAATGTCACCAGCAACCATTTTTTACCAGTACTCATATTGCAATTTTTGCTGTTATTGCATGTTTTCACCAGAGTTCATATTGCAATTTTTGTTGTTATTGCTTTTCTCTGCTACTCCTTATTACTGGTTCCCATATTGTATTCATTTCTATGCTTGGTTGGCTCAGGAGATTTTTGTGGCCTAGCATATGTGCTGATTCCATAAGTTTACAAATTTTCCAATGGTGTTATTTGTCTGATCTCAACCTGATCCCACAGAGGGTGGTGATCTCTCTTTTCTCTCCATATGATAAAAAAAATGGAAACAGTGTCTGACATCAGTTTTAGTAAGGAGATGTGCATTTTAAGAATGAAGGCAAATTCACAAATCTTGATGAAAATATTGTATGGGTGAAATCTCTTGTGACATTTTCACATTAAAGGAATCATTAATGCTATCAAAAGTTTTAACCAAGTTTCTAATAATGAAATAACAAAACAACAGAAAAAAAATGAAACCCAATTTTTATTTTTTTATTTATTTATTTCAGTTAAAAACTGACCAAGATGTCCAGGTATGAGAAGCCAAAGAAGAGGCTTAGGCAAAGTCATTTTGATCTGCAGATACCAGATGTTTGGTTGCCAATGACAACCACAGAAGCAAAGAGTTAAAAATCTGTTGGGTGCCTTGTTGAAAAGCTATGAGAGCACAAAGGAATTTTGCAAGGAATTTTTTTTTTTTTTTTTGTTGTTAATTTTCTTTTGTTCTTTGTAACAATTAAGCAAATCTCCAACATACAACCACACCCTGTAAATAAAAGAACAACAACAGTTTTTTGTTTGAATTTATTTTTCCTGATGAAATTCAAATGGCACCAGAAATGACAGGATATTCTTATTTCTATTGCTCAAAACTACATCTTTCTTCAATAAGACTGAGTGAAATGCACGGAATTGTACATTCATTGCTAAAGTCTCTAGCACCTGATGAAGAGTAATGAAAAATATTACAGTTGAATGATGATCATAATGAAGTGTATCATGGTTTAATTATTGTAATCTTAAGATTTTTGTCTTATTTTATATAATTTTTGAAGAGTAAAATAATTTTTAAGTTATTAAAACTATTTAACTTTTATAAGAAAAAGACAAGTTATCTATTTATAACTAATTTAAAATCTAAATTTGGTTTTCAAATTACTAAATATAGCTTCCGCACTTGGCACTCACACTCATGAATTTTTGTGTTGATTTTTATAATTATACATGACAAAATAGGAAAAAGTTTTTGTGTGAGGTGTTTCATACTTTAGGTCATCATTGGACTAAGTTTACATTTGATGTGACTTACACATGCACATGAATGAGTGACACTGGCAATTTTGAATGTAAAAATGTATTGTTTTTCTTTTTTTATATAAAAATTTAAATGAAATTGGCTAAATTTTATACCCAAAAACACACACAGGGAAAAAAAAAAAAAACATCTTTAAATTTAAAATTCCCAGTTCCAAAAATTTACAATATATGATGGCTGTTCATGTGCAATCACATCAACATAAACAAAGGCTTAATCTAACGAAGACCTTTTTTGTTCCCATCATTGTATCTACATGGTGGGACATTTAATAACAAAAAGTGATGGAAGCAAAACAATTGAAATCAAATCAGCTAGAAGAAGGAGAAAAAAAAGAGAGAGAAAGAGAGAAGAAAAAGAGAGAGAAAGAGAGAAGAAAAAGAAAGAGAAGAAAAGAAAGAGAGAGAGAGAGAAGAGAGAGAGAGAGGAGAGAAAAAGAAGGAAAGAAAAAGAAAGAAATATTTAAATTAAAATTTCCAGCATGTCTTATCAATGTAAACATAGTCCGAATAAGTCCCAAAGTATGAAACACATTCCATGCAAACTTTTTCTACTTTGTCATACATCTTTCCCCCAAAAGTGTTCTCGATATATTAATATTTATATATCATTATCCCATAATTATACATGTTTAATGCAATAGGCTTGGATGGGGTTGGAGGGGAAAAAAAAACAAAAAAAAAAAAAAAAAAAAAAAACACACACTTGTCCAAGTTTTAGGATCCTGTATCAACCAGATTTTTGTCAATTGTAAAGGTTGGGCGATATAGAAAACAGATTATAAAAAAAAATAGTTGATAAGTATAAGAGTTGAAACAAACAAACAAAAAAAAAAAAAAAAAAAAACACCATCACATTGTGCGTGAAATATTCAATAGGAGGGAATCACAGTAGGTTAAAAAAAAAAAAAAAAAATGTTCAAAATCTAAGAATCAGTGACCGTGGACATTGTGTAAGACTCAATTGTTGTCAAAACTCATGGGTGGAAGGGAAATGTAAAAAGCTAATAACTGTATACAGGAGTTGGAAAAACTAAGGTTGTCTTTGGTTGGGGCAATTTGAAAGTAGAAATATTAATGGAGGTTTTGGGGGGAGGTGAAAGGGAAAGAGGGTTATATTACAAACAGGAAAAGAGGGGGGTCCATTTTGTAAGTGGCAGTGGGGGGGAGTTGTTGCTAGGTTTTGTCATTTTCTTTAATATGCTGACTGTTTATTTTTACAGCTTAATCCTTTGTGAGTTATTTAAAGCCAAAACACATTTTGGATTGTAAGAGTAACTATTGTGTGTGTATATGAATATTGAATTTTTGAAGATAATGATTTTTCCAGATACAACTCCTACTATTTAACTCATAGCTGGGGAGGGGAAGAAGAGATGGATTAATTTATGTCATCTTCTTCAATATTATTATTATTATTATTTTTTTCATGGCTTAGCCCTTCATTGGTTATTTAAAGCCAAAAGACATTTTGGATTATAAGAGTAATTAATTTTTTTGCAGGCAAATATTAATATTGCATTAACAATTTCTTTTTAGAGATGAGGATTTTTTTTTCCAGATACAAGTCTTACTATTTAACCCATAGCTGGGCGGAGGAGAGATGGATTCATAACTTTCCCCAAAGGTATTTATGTTTAAGTGAATGTAACAAATTTGACTGGAATTTGAACTCGGATCTCCATTTTCTCATTCCGAGCCACTATCCATTACATCATCCACGCATCTCCTTCTCCAATCAAAGGGAAAATAGTGGCATATTTACACGCTTATCAAGTTAAGCCATTAACTATCATTGGCTTAGTTTAATCTGAGAGAAATGAGAGTAAGAAAGATTGGAGCACTATAATCTTCCAAGTGGAGAAGGGCTTTGTTATAAAATCATTTGAAATTGTTTATTTTTTTTTTTGACATGTCAGAAAGGAAAAGATGCAACTCTTTTAGCCATTAAGCAGAATCCATCTCTATCCATTACCAAAAAGAGTTAAATAAGAAAAATGTGTGCGTAAATTTGAACATACACAGCTGTTTACCAATAAAGATTTTATATCTGCAGAGAGTTGGTGATTAGTGGACACTGCAGACACTGAAAAAACAAAAAGACAAAAACACACACACAAAGACTTTTCAATTTTTGGATTAAACTTGGCACCAAAACCTGAAGAATCAAGCTTAAAACACACACAAAAAAAAAAAAAAAAAAAAAAAAAAAAAAAAGAAAAAAAAGTTGGCTACCAAATTTTCCCAGCAGATTTAATATATCACTAACCTTTGACATTTACCAATTGAGACTGATTTATTTGGCATGAACATTAAAGAATAAATGACTAATATTTTCAAACAGCTTAGTCCTTGTAAAATCTGATGGTGGGTTCATTTCAATAGACATTTCAGGAAGGTTTATTTTTGCAATCTCTTGCGTGAGAGAGAGTGAGAGAGAACACACACACACAAAAAGAAAACAGACACTTACCAAAAAGGTTAATCACTGAAGAAAAAAAAAAAATGTAGACACCTCCCAAGCCTTGGACAAGGCAGGGATTTGCCACTTCTCACTTGAATGTTGGGTAACACAGTATGAATTAAAAAATACAAAACATATCACAGTATTCAGAAAGTTTTCAATCCAGGAAAAAACCCCAAACTTCTAATTCTCAGGATAATCTAAACTGATTTACTCTGTTGCTCAGGTCAGGTAAGTGGCCATTGCCAATTGAGATTTCTGGAATATTTTATTCCCTGCACATGAGAACATTTCTTGGAATCAAAGAAATGTGTTGGATTGGATGGGGGCAGCCAGAATTAGAAAAAAAGTTTCTTTTGGGTGTGCGTATTAACATGAATTCATAGTAACCGACATTTTTTTTTTTTTTTGTGGACTTATATGATGGGTGATTCATTTCTCAATCTCTACCCCCAAAATTTTTAGATTTAGGAATTTAATTGCAATTTCTTTTTTAAGTTCAAATTCATCCACTGAAATATATCATTGTTTAAAAAAAAAAAAAATCCTTTTAATCTCCTGTTATTGTTGACAGAAAACAAACAAACAAAACCAGATATTATCTTGACACAGAAATACCTGAATCTTCCAAATTTGAATATTAATACATTCATCTTAGAAACTTGGCATATTTTAATGATGCAAGACCTAAAAAGTGATTTTTTTTTTTTTGTTGTTTTCCTCAATATAAATGTCAAAATCCTTCATCCCAATATATATTTTGATTATAAAAGCATAACTTCCTGAAATTCCTCCTGGGGCTGGGGGTTACTTTCTTTCTGAAATTGGGGATGTTTTCATTTATTTTTACTAAATTTTCACCCAATTCAAGCCCAAAGAGCTACTCAAGGTAGAGCATTAATGAATGAGATTCTATGGACATAAAAAAATGGTAGTAATTATAGATTATGAAGGTATGCAAGGTAGATAACAGTATCTTTTTTCTGGCTTAATCAAATATTTTTTTTTGACAGTGGGGACAATATATATATTTAATGATAAAATAAATCCAACTTTTATTACATTTAAGTAAAATACATTTTTTATTTTCTGCTCCTTACTGCCTTTCTATAGAAAAGAAAAAATCAAACTGAAAAATACAGGAAATATTCTTTTCTGTTATATATATATATATATATATATATATATATATTGGTGTTTTAATTAAGGTTGAGAATATACTCTTGCCATTTTAAGATCAGATTTAGTCACTTTTGGTCATCCATATTTTAGCAGTCCCATGAGACATTTGTAAATAAAACATAGCATGGCATGCTTTGTGCGTTACAATGTAATGGACACTGGCTTTATATATATATATATATATATAAGGTGAAAATATTTCTATAGAGAATTGAAAATGCCTATTTCCTTTTAAAAATTTCCATATAAAAGCCAGATTTCACAATTGCCCATTTGTGCATAAATTTAATTTTAAATGTAGTATATTTAAGAAGCAATTGTTTAAATGTTTTATTAAATAAAATGGCCAAGGAATGTCTGTTAAACCTTTTACTATGTAAAATCAATGATAGCCAAAATTAATCGGAATGTCACAATTTCAGTAAGTTCCTTTTCAAGTTTCCACCTGACATCAAATGACTTATATGACACCCAGTATTAGCAAGCATTTCTTGTCTGTTTTCTTCAGTAAAATGTTTAAATTAAATTTTTAAAAGAAAAATTCTAAGTCCTTCAGTTACATCAAACCATCAACTCTTTCAAGATAGTTCCAAAAACCTGGAAATTATCTGAAGCTTTAATTCATCCAAATTCATTTAAAAGCACCACATGACAGTTTAAAAAAAAAAAAAAAATCATTTATGTGCCATTTCATTAAATGAGGAAATGCATCCCACAATTTATCCTTTTATAAACTTTTAATTCAGAGCAAAGTATCCTTTGTTAAACCCATTCAATGATTCTGCATTCTGTAATGCGAAAAAAAAAACAAAAAAACAAAAAAAAAAATATTAATTCCACCAATACTGATCCCAACTAATGTAGCCATGTTTGTTACTCCAAATTCTTCTGACAATACTGAGGTGGGGGAGCTCTGAACGTTAATTACTATTGTGTCAATGTCTAGAGATCACAAACAAAATTTCTGATTTTTTTCCAACACAAACCAACCTCAGCCAAGGAACTGTTAAATGAAGGAATCAAAATCCATAGTCTTAAAAAAAAAAAAAAAAGTGGATGGGGGATTGATTAATAGTGAAAATTCAGTAGAAATGTAGTACATTTAAAAAAAAAAAAAAAAAAATTTTTTTTTTTTTTTTAAAGAAAACTGACTTGCTGCTGTCTTGGGGACAGAAGGTAATTCTCAGATTTAAAAAAAGAAAAATTTCAATTTTAAATTAACCAGAAATCTCAAAATGTATACAAGAAAAGAGAGCAGGGGAGGAAAATAAAAAAAATCAGCCTAAACATATCTTTCAAGTTCACCTGATAATTGTACTATAGTGAAGTTTCATTTGCTACCTCAGAAAGTTACAAGTTGCTTAGAGTGTCCTTAAGGAGTCACCTATTTAAGTACTAAATCAAGCTTGACTGCAGTTGTATAAAAGAAAAAAGAAAAGATTGGGGGGGTGTTGGGGGTTTAGAATAAATCTGTAGGTAGTGTGGATTATACAAACATTCAAATGTATCAATGGCAAGAAGTGTTCTTAAAGATGATTGTTTCAAAAATATGCCAACAGGCATAAAAGAGGGTCATGGTATTTCTGGTTTGATACAGGGCTTAAAATAAGGACAAAATATTTACTATAAAAAAAAAGAAAAAAAGAAGTGTCCTTTGAGATGGTTTTTCTTCATCTAAAATAAGAATACCATTTCTAATTCTTATTTCAATAATGATAATATTAACAAAAAACTTTTTAATCTGAAAACAAAACAATCCTTTGAACATTTCCTGAACGGAAGACAATTTAAAAAAAAAAAAAAAAAATCCCCAATAGCAAAGACAAATTGAAAAATGCAAAACTTACTGTCAAATCCCCAAAACCTTTCAGCATGACGAAACTTTCACAATATTTTTTTTTTTTTTCATTTGTTTATGATCCAATACAAATCAATGATTTCCAAATTGTAGAATATCCAACAAAGGCCAATAAGATGACCACAGATAACCTGAGGCAAGCAACAAACATTATCCATTTAAAAAAAAAAAAAAAAAAATCACCTGTTGACTTATCCAATACAAATTGATGCAAAGAATTTTGAAGTATTATAAAATTGACTTTTTTCTTTATCATTTCACCCCAAGCAATGCAATAAAATCCACTGGGACGCAAGGGTGTTGTTGAGTGTGAAAGGAACTGAGCAAACATGGAGTTTTCAAGAAGACAGATGATGACTGACATTGCATTTAAATTTTTGAAGATTGTACTTGATAGGAATGCAAGAAGCTGGAAGAGAGTTCCACAAGTTCAAAGTGCAAGAGAAGAACTTGTTAGCAAAGAACTTGCACTTACATCTAGCAATTTCAACTGTGAAATGATGAGACCTAACAGCCAATCTAGTACTGTGTTTAAATTTGTGAAGTTGAGGAACCAAAGAGGAAAGCTCACCTGAACAAATATCATGAAAATATTTATAGAAAAGGCACAGGTAAGCTATGTTACGGCAGTGAGAAAGTGATTGAAGCTGATATGCCAGGTCAGGACCAATAACATTGCAGATTCTTGTTTGGATTTTGTCAAGAATCTTTAAATATATTGCAAAATCACCAGAAGAGTCATGGCAGAAATATTCAATGCACAGACAAATGGTTGACTTGTACATGTGCAAGATCGATTTGGGTGAGAAAAATTGTCTAGCTTGACATAGCGAACCAACTTTCCTCATAACGGAATCAAAGAAAATAGTTGAAGTAGCATTGGTTGGTAGTGCTTGCAGATATTTCTTCATTAAAAGTATTCTTTGATTCAGAATAACTGACTGGGGATTTTATTTGAAAAAAAAAAAAAAAAAAAAAAAAAAAAATCACTGGCAAATAAATGTGTACCTTTGTCAATTTAAAAAAAAAAAAAAAAAATCCAGGTCAGGTTGGAAGCTAAATTTATGATAGATCCATTCAAGACAGTCATGGAAGTTCTTCATCAATAGAGACTGTAATGTGAAGAGATTTTCTGTTTTTTTTTTAAAAAAAAAAAAAAAAACAAACAAATAAGCAAAAAGCTTACTGATCTGAAGAGAATTTTTGCTGACATGTTGAAAATAAAGTACCAAAGATAATTTAATTTAGAAAATTCATTTTCAGTTTTATTTCTGTAAAGGACAAAAAGAAAACTCCCACCAAGAAAAGAATGTTTTTCTATTGAGTTTGATAACAAAATGAAGGCTTAAAAAAATAAAAAAATACACCACACAATTTGTTTTTTGTTCAATTGATTGTTTTTCTTTTTTTCCTCTTGATTTTTGTTTAGAAGAAGCAGTATTTTATTAGTGTGATAGTAACTTACTTTTTTAGTGTTAATAAAAAGCGTAAACATGCTTAAACTAAGGTTTTGTAAGGGAAAGGAATATATTACATTGGATTTTGTAAAAAAGAAAAAAAAAAAACCGAAAAATTTTAGCAATGGAAGAAATAATTATATAATTTTTGGAATATATATATATATATATAAATAAACGTAAAAAGAAATTGAGTCTAGGATAGATTTGATAGTCACACCTTTTCAAAGAAAATATATTATTTTACTTTCAAAATTAGAAAACAAATAGTGGGTGTAAATTATCTAAACTTTCTTATAAAACAATTTTCTTGGAGATAAATTGGTTGTGCGAAGCTTATTGATATAAATTGGGTTGTAGAAATTACCCATTACTTCTTGTACATCGACTCAAAACAATCACACATTTTCTCAAAGAGAAAGGCAGTTCACATAGGAAATTTTTGTTTCAAGCAAATTTCAAAAATCAAAACTCACATACATAAAAAAAAGAAAAGTAATTTACATTCATCTTCAATTTTACTCTCAAGATTACAAAACAAAATCTGCACACAGTTAAGATTATATATATATATATATATATATATATATATATATATATATAAAGAAGCCTTTCTCAAAGGAAGGATGCATATTACATGGGCAGTAGTTAAAAAAATATTCAGAAAGATAATATTTTTTGAAGAGATATTTGTTGCATGTTGACTAAGCAATCTGGAAATGGCACCTCCAACAATTTACAGGTAAAAATGAAAATGGCACCCACCCTCAACGAATAAAAAAAAAAAAAGCTATCACAAAGCATTTTTTTTTTTTTTTACAGATTTTTGCTACTAAATATTTATATTAACAAACAAAAATTATATTATTATTATTTTATAAATGAAAAGAAAATAGTTCAAAGGAATGTTACTGCTTTTTTTTTTTTTTTTTTAGAACATCAAAAGTTTAAATAAGAGAAAAAATAAAATTTTTAATTAAAAAAAAATATGCAGATAAAGATCGAGTTAAATTCTAAAATTAAAACTGGAAAAAAAAAAAAAACAAAACAAAAAGAAAAAAGTTAATTTGTTTTTCTATTTTGTTTCAGAAATTCAGAAAATAAATTCAAATTAAAAATTTAACAACAGAAATTTTTAAAAAATGATTTAATTAGATATAGAATCTTTGCAACACACAAAGAAAAAATTTTTAAGCTAAATTCTTACTCAAATAAAGACTAGAAAACAAAAAAAAAAAAAAATCAAAGGAAAAAGTTCAATTTGTCTTTTTTTTTCTATCTTGCATGACAAATTAATTCAGAAAAAAAAAAAAAATAAAATTAAAAAGATTTCAGCAGAAATTGCCAGCATTCGTGCAATCTCCTTCTCTACTCGGGGCAAAGCTTGGTTAGATAGGGACACACACAAAAAAAAAAAAACAGTTATAGACTGATTTTTGACAAATACTGATTTTGATGAAAATCAAAAATACATCCACAACTTGGCTGAAAATTAAAAGAAAAAAAAAAAAAAAAAAATCATCTAGCTTTCTCAAGGTCACAATTTGGTTGTCCCTGATATCAAAAAGCCACACAATCCATCCGTCTGGGCAAGTGGATACATCATTCATAAGTTAAGATTATATATATATATATATATATATATATATATAATGATGCTACATCTCCAGGTTTGGAACTTTTTTTTAAAGTTGTAATAAAACAAAATAAAATAAATAATCTGAACGCAGTGGATATAGAGCGCAAATGATTGGCTCTAGGTTTAGACTTCCCATCCTGGTTTTGAATCTGTATTGACTGATTTGAATGAAGAGATGGCTTTACCAGATGAGCCACAGACCCCAGTTTTGGATGTTAAATGGCTGTCAAGATACTATTGTTTTTTTTTTTTTTGTTTTTTAATTATTTTTTTTTTTGTCTTTGTTACTCTTTCGTTTCCTTCTCCCACGTTTTTCTCCAGAATCCACATCAGTTCTTTTGCCTCACTCTTGTTTTTCATTCATTTTATGTTTAAAAATAAAAACTAAAAAAAATCCACTGCAGTTTTTGCATTTTCTTCATTTATCTTAGCAAGTCATTTGCTATGTCCCCACAGCTTCACCATATTTTATCTTTTGTCCAGCTTCTACACCAAATTTGAAATCTTTAGGAGCTTCGAAAATGAGAACGATTGTTGATCCGAGGTTAAATTCTCCAAAAAGGTCTCCTTTCTCCACAGGTACACCTGGATTCTCTTCGTTAGGCAGGTAGCGGTCTGAGTAAGTTCCATCTGGTTTTTTTCCTGTGTTAGTAGCCAATTCCTGTAGCAATGACAAAAAGAGAAAAATCAGGAAAAATAAAAGACTATCTACATCCCCCCAAATAACCAACTACTCAATATTCTTATATGCATTTTTTGGAAATTTTTCTACATAGTGTTGCTAAAGTGTTTAACCCTTTAAGACCAGAAGCACCCAGATATGTCAACAAGTTTCATGTGCTTAGAGTTTGGGGGTGCCAGAATGTGCCCACAAATCATGTAGGACTATATTTCAATACACTGCATTAAAACCGGTCACATGATCAACTAGGTGCCAGAAATCTACGTCTTTATAAAAATTGTAGATTTCCAAGACTATATCAAGGAGGCTAAATTTGGTATTAGTCAAAATTTTTCTTTTTTTTTTTTAACAGTGATATGCAATGCCCAGGAGCCACTCAAGGTAGAGGGTTACTGAGTAAGAAGCATAGGTTATGCAGATATGTGGGAAAAATAATGGCTGACACTAGACTTGAAAAGTTCAAGATTGTAGTGATCTGGAAAACATTCTCTGTGGAGTTCTTTCCACAGAGCAGCAATTTGTTGAAGCAGTTTTATGTTTAAAAAAAAAAAAAAACTAAAAAAAATCCACTGCAGTTTTTGCATTTTCTTTGTTATCTTAGCAAGTCATTTGCGATGTCCCCACAGCTTCAACCAGCTTCTACACCAAATTTGAAATCTTTAGGAGCTTCGAAAATGAGAACGATTGTTGATCCGAGGTTAAATTCTCCAAAAAGGTCTCCTTACTCCACAGGTACAGCGCCGCTTGCTCACATATTCCGTGGTGGAACTCTACTGAGTTCTGTAACCATAGGCGCTATATTGAGTCTGATTTGCAATCTCTTCGTCACCAAGGCCCATTGGAACAGTTGGTATGATGTTTGCTTGACAACCTAACTGTCAGGGTTTCAATTCTCGGTAGTGGATGCACACTGCTGATGAGTCCCAAATATAAAACGAAATGGCCGTCCAGTGCTTTCTGCATTCTGTTGAGGTTTCTATCAGACTCGAATTAATTAAATATAATTATCAAATCCTCCTAATAATTTCTATCTGTGTGTGTGCGTATATATATATATATATATATATATATATATAAAACACAGTGCAGTTGGTGTCATAGATAGCATCTTGGAATGAGAAATCGGAGATCCAACTTTGAACTCCAGTAGAATACCTTACTTTCACTTATGCACAAATACCCTTGGGTATGAATCCATTTTTGATCCCTAATCCATGGGTTAAATAGTAGGACTTGTATCTCATCAGCCTTGGTTGATAACTGGCCTATGAGAAGGACAACTCTGAATTTAAAAGCTGTATGTAAACCTGGTGAAGGAAAATAGAGTAGAATTCATAATGACTGCTTTCGACTGTGGTTGGTTTTGGTTTAAAGACAAAAAACAAAAAGGCTCCTAGTCATCTTAGGTGAAACACCTGTTCTTATCCACTCACTGAACCTAAGCAATGGTCAATATATAGATGCGTCAACTGCTTGGGAATACCAGGTGCTATAAGACTGCATGTGTCGGAAATGTGATTTATAACAGCTTGGAATGAGAAATCAGAGAGCTGAGGGATTTCTAGCCAAATTCATTACATTCACTCATGTGCAAATACCCTTGGGAAAGGTATGAATCCATCTTTTCTTTACCCAGATATGGGCTAAATAACAGGACAGACTGGGTCCTATGGCCTTGGTTGACAACCAGTCTAACTTCACAGATGAATTCCTGTAGTAATCACAAATCGAAACAAGGTATGATTGCCCAAGCATGCATCATAGCACCTAAGGCAGGAAGGATGTAAGGAAGAAAGAAAATAAAACAAGAGAGGAAAGCGAGGAAGAGAGGAGGAAAGCGAGGGAGGGATGTGGAAAGCGAGGGAGGGATGTGGAAAGCGAGGGAGGGATGAGGAAAGCGAGGGAGGAATGAGGAAAGCGAGGGATGAGGAAAGCGAGGGATGAGGAAAGCGAGGGATGAGGAAAGCGAGGGATGAGGAAAGCGAGGGATGAGGAAAGCGAGGGAGGGAGGGAGGGAGGGATGAGGAAAGCGAGGGAGGGAGGGATGAGGAAAGGGAGGATGGATGAGGGGAAAGCGAGGGAGGAGGGATGAGGAAAGCGAGGGAGGGAGGGATGAGGAAAGCGAGGGAGGGAGGGATGAGGAAAGCGATGAGGAGAGCGATGAGGAGAGCGAGGGAGGGAGGGATGAGGAGAGGGATGAAGAAAAAAAGAGAGGGATGAAGAAAAAAAGAGAGGGATGAAGAAAAAAGAGAGGGATGAAGAAAAAAAGAGACAGCAAGAGAGGGATGAAGAAAGAGAGACAGCAAGGAAGGAAGGATGAAAGAAGGAAGAGAAAAAGTAAAGGAGGGAGAGATTAAATAAGTTTGGAAAAATCCATTTTTCTGATGATGCAAAACATATCAAAGTAAGAGCTTTCCAAATTGTCTTGTGTATTTACCATTCTGTTAGATTCCCATTCAAATTTAAATCAATTCTTTATGTGTGTGTTGTATAGAATTTAGCAAGTGAGAAAAAGAAAATACTTACATGGTCATTGTAGATGCGTATAGATCCAACATTGGTGGCACCAACAGCTGTCATAGAGAAAAATCCATGTTTCCACAGTCCAACATACATAGCTCGTTCATTGAGGTTAAAGAGGCCTTTGATCCAACGAGCCATGCCTGGATGCACGCTCAGGAGTTCCCCTGGAGAAAATAAGTTTTTTTTTAAGATGAACAGTTTTTTTTTTTAGCAGATTATAGAATAAAATAATGGAGTATCAAAAGTATATTTGCTTTTTTTACTGCCCTTTACTCTAAAGCTTGTTTCATGTAAACATCTAAAGACCATGTATCCACTATTTTTTTAATATCCTTATTATATATTATGGTGTATTGAAAGTATTTTCATTTTTTTTTCTTTTTTTACAAACCTTCATAAAACGGCTCTATAGTGTGTGTGTGTGTGTGTGTGTGTGTGTATATATATATATATATATATATATATACTTGTTGTCGAAAATTGTCGCAGTGCATTTGTTACACACACATCCTGCCTTTTATAGATAGAGATAAAAAAAGATAATGCTATTCCTCACCCATAGGGAGTATACAAGATATCATGAATAAATAAACCTACTTGTAGAACTGAACCCTTTATTTCATCCATTAGGGTAGATTGTCACAGTCTCAGTTATTTCCTTTTAACTCTCCAATTTTTTGTTCACCTCAGCTGTAGCCAGGTATTGAACTCACAACTCTTTGGGTCAAGTTACAGGATTCAACCAATGCTTTTATCCACTGGGCCATGTGTCTCTATGGAATTGGAACAATTTACCCCGGTGGACGAAATAAAGGGTGCAGTTCAAAATTCCAATCACCTGAAGAAGGCCAGGGCATACAATGGATGAAATGTTGTGAATATGGCAATGAAAATGAGGACAACATTCTGAACGATGTAAATAGTGTAAATAATTACAATACCTCACCTCAGAAATATACTTGTAAAAATTCAATATCTGGTTACCCACCATGAATTATGGTTGAAAGCTTACAAACAATAATTGAATCTGGGATAATCACCTGGGAAATGTCTCCGATAATAAACAATCCAGTCGGTTGGTGAATGGAATCGATGGTAGTCACCAGGGGCAAGATAAATGACACAGTGATAGAGGACATTTTCTGGATGGATGAGATGAGGCAAAATATTCTGGTTCTGGTCGACAGGTCCGTTTGATGGACCCTTCACCTCATTTGCAGCTTTTGAGGCGGACTGGGAAAATGGAAGCTTCCAACTAATTGGCCCAAGAAAACCCTCCACAGAAAAGTTGACACCTTTTACTTGTTTGATGACGCCATTCTCCACCTTTCCGAAATGTGTGACTGTCCCATCTGACGGACTGGTCTGAAAGAAATAAAAAAAAAAAAAAAATAAATAAAAATAAATAAATAATCATTATCATCTGGTGTGGGTGGAGATTATATATGTAAAATTTCAGATATAACTAAAAATATATATCTGTAAAAGGACAAAATGAATAAAGACCAAAGTTTTCCTTTTGTTTACATATTAATGAATATACATATTATCCCTTGCATGACACAGAGTTTATACATAATTGACCATTCCCATACAAATAAATGGGTTACCCATTTATCTGTATGAAAAGGTTGATCTGAGGAATTAGGATCAAATCTTGGTCCTAAGAAAATAAATTATATATATATATATATATATATATATATATATATATTTATTTCTTGTCTTTATTCACATAAATTAAATTCTTTAACCTTCACACAAAATGTCCCCCATCAACATGCATACAACAACCAAACATAGATAAAAAAATATCTACTTGAAGTGCATGCACACACAAATATATACTATAATCCCACATAGACAAGCCGGAATTGATACACATATACACATGAATTATACACACAAAAGCCACTTGACAAGACAGATATATGTGAGGTCTGCTTAATCAATGCAAAATACAAAAATTAAAAATAGCAGAATTTTCTTTCTCTCTTCTATATAACGTTCTCTGATTAAGTTTTAATAAAAGCAAAACATGTTATATTATTAAAAGTTTCCTATTTGTTCCTTATCCTATTATAAATAATTTGTTAAGGAAATATGCCAAATGAAATGATTGCTGTTTTGAGAATTACAGTTGGGCAAAAAACAGTGCTTGATGTACTTATCAACAGGTTTATAATTATAATATTGCCATTTCTTTTATATTTACTTACAACTGATATATAATAAAATAATAACACTTCTTTATATATATATATATATATATATTTCTGTTACTTCAGTTCGTCTGTCATGCCATCTAAAATAGCCATATATTGACCGATAAAAAACAAATTTTGCAGAGAAGTGCAAACAGGTAAGAGGCTACTAAGTATAATTGGTTTTGAATTCAAAGTTTTCTTTCTTTTAAACTGGTTGCCAAACAAGGCTAGACAACCCAGTCTGGCCTGATAACTGGTGGATAGAAGAAATGGATTCCGACCTTTCCCAAATGTATTTGCGCAAGGGTGAATGCCATTACTAAAATCCAAAGTTTGACCTTGTCATGCCAATCATGCTTCCTATACAAAATTTACTCCAACATACAGAGAAATAGGATCAACCCTGATTTTATAAATTTGGATTGAAAAGAGAAAGAAATGAAGAAATTCAAATCTATAATAAAAAAAGAAAATTTAAAAATACTCAAAACAAATTTTTTTTTATTAGTTGTAGTTTACAAAATGTTACAAGAGCAATTAAATTGAATTTATTTTTGATGTTTATAAAAATAAACGACCAAGAGCCCCCCTCCTTACTCACTTCTCAATCGATCACTCAAAATGGTTGAGTATAATTTTCAAAAGAATCTGTGGGGAAATAATTGAAAATCGTTTTCTTCAAAAGATGGACGTTGCTTTTGAAATATTAATAATCACTTCAATTTGCTCTTAAGTTATTTTTTGTTTTCTTTTTTATTTAGAAAAAAAAATCTTATATTGAACGAGTTAGAATAATGAACAACTGACAAACAAAAATCAAATCATAGCCTGCCTAGTGGCTGAAATAGTTGCTAGATTAGGCCACTTTGGAAAGCTTAGATTTAAAAAAAAAAAAAAAATCAAAAAGTTAATATTACCCAATATAAGACTAGAGTGCCACTAAAGTTGTAGGTAAAATGGTAATGTTTGTTGATTGATTCATTTTCTACAGATTATCAAATCTTTGCAGGTTTAAATAACCAGAAAATATATATTTTTTTTAAATTGTGAGAATATTTTTCTTTTTTGGTGATAATGTTTTATTGATATAAGTCTTACTAATTAACCCATAGCAAGGAGGAAAAGAGGTAGATTCATACCTTTTCTAATGTTATTTGTACATAAGTAAATATAACTAACCCAACTGAAAATGGAACTCTGCTCTGATGAACAATTCCTGGCCATTATTCATTATACCATCCACACAGTCAACCTTGCAGCACTTGGTATTCTCCAAAATGGTAATGAAGAGTGGTGACAAAATTTAAAATTTTGCTACATTTAAAATAATTTGGGCCAACTTAATCTACTAATATGTAACAAAACAGGTCATACTGTATTCTACTAAAGGGTGTTCCAATAACTTAGACAAATTTTAAACGTAAATTAAGTTTAAGCATCTAATAATTTTTTTTTCTTTTATATTCGGTGGACATTTGGGCAATATTATTTTTCACACATAATTGCCATGACTTAAATAATAGGATCCAATAGAGAAATAAATAAACACTGATTTATTTACTGCTGACTTTGATCCGTTTTAATGAAACACCCTTTATATGCATAACAGAAATACCCACGAACATTTTATGGTTTTCCTGGTTGAATTTTCTGATGAATTTAAGATTCTTAAGTTAATGATTGAATAAGCTCATGGCAAGTTCTACGACAAAAATTATTCATAGAAATTCCCCTATCATATTCGTTAAATATTTGAGCTCAACAACTTTCATAAAATATTGCAATAACAATAATAAACATGAATGCTGGTTGTTATATTAAGAAGTAAGAGGGTACAAATGAAAAGATTTGAAAATGACAACTTTTTCCATTTCACAAGAACAGACATTAAACAAAGCTATTTTCCATTCTTTCGGTTTCTCACTTACACTAAGTAGCATCTCTGATATGTCTTTCTGTCTTTCCACACAATCAAAATGGAATAGTCCATTATGTATGAGGCATTGGCAGGGTGTAATGTACATGCTAAGAAATGAAGGGAGGGGCAAGTAGAATTATAAGATCCTTCGCAAATAAATCAAACTATCTAGCAGTTCTAGCGTGTCTGATATACCTTTTTCCATCTTTCCACGTGATTAAAATGGAATAGTCCATTATCAATGAGATCTAACATACATGATAACTGAGGAATTAAGGTGGGGGAAAGCAAAATAATAATAACAATATGTCAGGTTACTACTTGTTAAATATTTGAGCTTAACAACTTTCACAAAATATTGCAATAACAATCATGAATGAATGATGATCTATATTGTAAGACATAAGAGGAGTACAATTGAAATGATTTGAAATTGACCACTTTTTTCATTTCACTGAAACAGACGTTAAATGCTTATATCATGTCTTATTTATTTCTTTTTCTCATTGAAACCAAGCAGCATCTCTGATATGTCTTTTCCATCTTTCCATGCAATCAAAATGGAATAGTCCATTATTTACAAGGTATTGACAGGGCATAATGTATGGTACGTACTATCTAAGGGATCAGTGGTGAGGCTAGCATAATTATAAGACACTGGTTTGTAAACAACACTAAGTGCTATGACTAATATCTCAAGTTTGACATTATGCTTACATCATTGAAAACTGCGTACTACTGTCATCTTCCCAATTCATAATAATGCTCAATTATCAATGACATAAACACAATTTCAAACTGAACATTTGTAAGCCAGGGATTGATTTGATACTGTATTTATATTGTGAAAAAAAATATCTTTTTGATTATGAGAAATGTTGTGCCAAATGGAAGGTCTAATGAAAGTTAATCGATAAAAAACATCCCCCCCCTCAAAAAAAATTACTTATCTTTTTATGAGTGAACCAATCAATTTAAGAATTCCTGTAGAGAAGAAAATGTATCTCACAATGTGAGAACAAAGATTTTGAAGCCTTTTCAACAATCAGGTCCTATTTTGCAGGAAAAGGCAGCTATTTGATTATTAGAATCAGATGATTGGGCAGGTGTAAACAAAAACGATTGGAAATAACAATTAGGAAAAATCAATTGGCCTTGGACAAGTTTGAAATGTCGATGGGTTTTTTTTTTTATAATTCTTCAGCAGTCAGTTTTGACTGATTAGTAAAAATATTAAATTTCAATAATGGTTTTCCAAATGTATAGCATCAAAAGAATGCTTTGGATATATATATATATATATATATATATATATATATATATATATATAAAAAAGAGAACGGCAAATGTTTTTGGTTGTAATGTGATTTTTTAAAACAAATATTATGCTTTATTTTCCATAAGCCAAATTATGGGAAATAAAGCATAATATTTTTAAAAAAATCCACATTACAACCAAAATGTTTGCGGTTTCTCTCTTCATTTTAATATACACATTTTTCTCTCATTGGAACTACTATAACCTCTTCCTCTGTGTATGTGTGTATGGATAGATAGAACAGATATATTTACCAAAATTACACAAAAATATCTTGAAATACTAAAGAGTAAATTTATTCAATAAAAATCAAGGTAGTCAGATGTACGGGGTGATGTGGTTGTAGAAATTGTCTGACAGCGATGACTGGGTTCTCCTACTTGTATGGAATGGTGCAGAGTCCTGTTGCCAGACACAGGATCTTCCTGAAGCCACCCTCTTGACCCAGGGCAGCAAGGAACTTGATGTAGGCTTCTGTGAGACCTTCACCAACAATTTCAGAATGATCAGAGTGAATTTTCCAAGCTACCATACCATCGTAATCACCATTAGACTCATCCAAC